ACTTTTGGATGTTCAGAGATTTTGCTCTTTGGTCTAAGACTAAAAAGTAGAATAAAACATTTTGCTCTTTGGTCTAAAACTAAAATGTGGGGGGAAAAAAAGCTTTGGATGTTCAGAGCTTTTTGCTCTTGGGTCTAAGACTAAGAAGTAGAATAAAATATTTTGCTCTTTGGTCTAAGACTAAAAAGTGGAAGAAAATATGGACACCCTGAGAGCCCAACCAAACCCTGCTCGAAATCAATTCAATGGTTAATAAAATATAGGCAAATCCTTTCCTTGCTATTTTGTACTGGGAAAATGATGAAACTTTTTTTTTTTTCCCCCTGAGTATTAAACAAGTAAAAAGAGAAAAATCCACCGGGAGAGATACAGGAAGCAGGGAAGGGTTCAGCCTAATTAATTCTGTTCTTCAAGTCATTATCACCTAGCAGCAGGTGAAGAGGAGCCGCTAGACAGACGGATACTGGGGCTTTGGTGTTCCAGCTGACCCCAGAGATTTCCAAAATCTCCTCCCCAGCACGTGGGGAAGGGATGCCTCTCCCCCAGCACACGGAGAAGAAGGGCACAGGAGGAAATGATTCTGTGCCTGGTTGAATTTTGCACCACAGCATTGCTGAGTCCGTGGCAATGCAAATGTCACTGGAATTCCCCTTTTCCAGCCCTGCCCAGAATGAGCAGAAGCTGCTGCTGGCACACACCAGAGCCCCATCCCCACTCCAACAGGCTGTGCTGGCCTGAGGAGCTGCCCAGCCTCTGGAATTGTGGAGCTGCCCAGCCTCTGGAACTGTGGAGCTGCTCAGTCTCTGGAATTGGGGAGCTGCTCAGCCTCGGGAATTCTGGAGCTGCTCAGTCTCTGGAATTGTGGAGCTGCTCAGTCTCTGGAATTGTGGAGCTGCTCAGTCTCTGGAATTGTGGAGCTGCCCAGTCTCTGGAATTGTGGAGCTGCCCAGTCTCTGGAATGTGCTGGGAGCCTTTCTAACCTGTTGATGTACCAGGTGACCTCCTGTGATCCCATGCACAGCAGGTTTGTTATCTGAGACGATGCTGATAAGAGCACTGGGGTACCAGGGATGGCAGCACCCAGAGTGGATTATCTCAGTCCTCCTGGGTCCTCATCAAAGGGATTTTGCACTCCTTTTGAAAGCGAATCCCGGAGTTACAACATCAGTACTGCACATTTCCTTTCCCTGCAGCTGGACAGGGCACAGCTGGTCAGAGTTTGGCTGAACTGGGATCATTCCAGGGGTGTCTGGGGCACCCAAACCCCCTGACTGCATGGGGAGCAGGACAAAGAACCCTTGCAGTGGCACCAGTGCCCTTTGACACAACCTTCTGCAACCCAAAATGCCCGAGATCAGCTGCAAAAAATAACCACGTGGGCCTGGAGTCAACACCCAGAAAAGATCAATTAAGGAAGGAGCCAAATACAAAGGGCAAGGAAGAGGAGCCAGGAATTTGCATTCCCACAACTGAGGAGATTTATCTGCATTTCTAGTTAATAGAAGACATTAATTGATTCATGTTTTTTTATGGCTGCACACTGAACTATTTCTGTCTGGAAGGAGACACTCTTAAATGGAATGAGTCAGAGCAGACCTGTTATGTCACCCTGGGACCCTGAAAGACTTGTTAATAGCTCTGAAGAAATCAAGTTGCTTCACAGGGCTATTTTCTCTTCAGACATCAAAAGCAGAGCGAGAGGAGAGTAGTTCTGAAGGCCGAAAATGATTTTTTTACACGGTCCTTTGCATTTGACAAATAGCAACAAGATAATCAAAGAGCTTTGCTCTTCACAAGACACTTCCACAGACGTCCCAGCAGGATTTATCCATGCAGCCAAACAGGAGCTCCTGGAACGGGGCTAAGGGAAGTCCTGGCAGCTCCCAGCTCCTCCATTCTCTTCCTCCCAGATTCACTTTGCAATCAAAAGAGAAGCAAAGCTTCTTTTTCATCTTTAAAACATTTAGAAAAACATAGGGAGGCATTTCTCCCTGGGAGGGTGGGGAGGGAGTGGAATGGAATTCCCAGAGCAGCTGGGGCTGCCCCTGGATCCCTGGCAGTGCCCAAGGCCAGGCTGGACACAGTGGAAACTGTCCCTGCCACTGGATGATTTTTAGCTTCCCTTCCAATCCAGCC